ATGAAAATTAAAATATATATTCCATTGTATAATGATCATTGTAATTTTAATATAAGTTAATATTGGCAATAATATGACAATGTTATATTAATTCTGTATTGAATTAAATTAGAACCTTGATAGGATTTTTTCTTTCGTTGTAGGGAACAAAAATATTTTCTCGCAAATGTATCGTAACTTTTGTTTTCATACTATCCATATGTTGGTAGCGTTAGATATCAAAAGTTCAATAATTTCTTTTGAGAACCCATAAAATTACCTATGCTAACACTACGATTTTAGCATGCCCCAATCCGCCACCTAGTCCCGGTCCACCCCTTTTTCCTCTTCTTAAGTCCCAGCTTTTCCTCTCTCCCTAACCACCCGCGCGGCCCAGACGACTCCTCCTTCCCGTGCAGCCCAGCTGCATCTCCAACCGAAAAACCCGCAGCATGCACCACCCCGTTCGCCCCTCTCCACTCCCACGTAGGCCGCGGCCCGCACACTACCACAGGCCCACCAAGGCCCAGCCGTCACCTGACGAGGGGAAACCTTAGATCGATTAGAATAGCAGTCTGCTGAAGCACCTTAATATATTTCATTAATTGGACCAAGATCCAACTATACAAGAGCTAACCAGTCTGCATTTCTCAAAACAAAAAGTGCTAACCATTCTGCAAATGTGAAGAACAAATTAGTTAGCGTATGATATGATGATAAATAGAATGCATCTAAAAAAAAGTACACCCAACTATCTTTGAAAAAAAAGGAAGCAATAGAAAAGAAGATTAACCCTCTTACTGTAAGTTTGCAAGGATGCATACATCATACAGAGTACTCTATATGTTAAATGGGCCTAATTAACACCTTGTAGTTAGCAGTGTTCAATCGAAGGCGTCCTGCGACTCCTCCATGTAGCTGACTGATAGCTAGCTTAGCCAGCAGCACCATGCGCCATGCATTCTCTGATACGCCAGCGTGCACTGCAGCCGCCAGTCGGCCGCTGCATACTCAATTCAATCTGCCGCGCGCGAGAGGTGGGGATGGCTCTTCCAGTCTACTCTTTGTTTGATCTACCTACATGACTACAGACATGCCTACATGCGTGAAGGGCATTATGCAATTATGCATTGTAATTGTTCCTCTCCTTCAGTTTCAAACTCGGCACCAGCACCTCGTACACAACGCACAGCATCAAGGAACGCAATCGAATCAACAAACTTCCCCTAAACCCAAGAATCAATGCAAGACCAAATCAATGTACACCGCCAAGATTGGTGCGTGAGCAGGCCTAACATGGCTAATGGCCACAAACAAAGAAAGCAAAACGGATGGCCATACTTACGGAGTTACGGGGCTGGCGGCAGGCGGCGGCATCGGAGACGGCAGAGGCAGAGGCAGAGCCGGCAGCCACGCGACTGCAGGCTGCTGCGGCGGTGTAGTGAATGAATGACAGCATATTACCTATGCGAGCTCTGAAGCCAGGATCGGCGCGGCCGTCCTGAAGCGCAGCGCGCCGGGCGTCCTTGTCTTCCCGTCTCTGACCCCGAGAAGTTCAGGCGCGCTGTCGAGGAGTTCCGAGCAGGAGTTCTGGACGGGGGCCGGCAGGAGTTCTGAGCAGACCTTGGCGGCGACCGGCAGGAGTTCCGCCCAGGCGGCCTGCTCGCCAACGTCGTCGGGGTCTAGGCAGGGGCCGGCAGCAGATCGATCCGGCCAGCAGTTTTTTCCCCCTTTTTGTTTTCGGACGGACGGAGGAGGGTGTCGAACCGTGGTCTCGTGAGCGCGTGGGGATGTCTTCTCGCCAACGTCGTCGGGGGTATGGGCGGGGCCCGGCAGGGGCTCGATCTCCTCCCTGCGCGCCGGACGGAGGAGGGAGTCGAACGGAGGAGGCGGGGCTCAATCTGCTGCCAGGTGGCTGCTCAGCAGTCATGGATCGGGAGAAGGAAAAAAAGCAGAGACTCAAACGGGGGGGGGAGGACACGGATATAGCCCTGGTAATGCGGACAGAACATAGATGATTATGTTGGGAAATTTTGTTTGTTGCCAAAAATTTTGGCTCTTTAATATTAGAGGAGGAGGAGGAGGAATAGAGGATAGAAGTATAGACAAACAGAAAAAGTGAAAAAAAAAACATAAAAGAAACAAAACAGAGAAATTATATCCTTCTTTTTTTATTAGATTTTATTCTTATATTTTTACGTTTTGATTAAAATTTCTATTCCGGTTACTCGGGTTTAGAGAGATCTAATTAGATTAAGATTCCTAAATGTTTAAGATTATTCACCTGAAATTAGAGAGATCTAATTGGATTAGAATTCCTAGATATATAAAGAGAAGAGGGTTTTCCACATTCACAAAGTTAGCTAAAGGATGGCCGGAAAAAAAAATAGGTGGAGAGAAATTTTACCTCTTTATTATTAGGCATAGAGTATTTGTTATTTGTCGTTGTGTTATAACATATTAAGTTTTTGTCCTTATCTAACTATAGAAATAAATTATAAAATATTTTTGTGCCAACACAAATTTGTGGTTTGTCTAACAGGTTTTTTATTCTCAAATACTAAAAATCGCAGATTTTTTTTTGCGTCTATAGAAATTATAATGAACAAAATCTGCAATGAATTTTAGCTAGACCCTATTTCTTTTAGGCAACATCGTCGAACATGACGCGTGGACCGCATGGAGCTGCTGGGCTCGAGGACCGGGCGGCGTCCATAGTCGCGCCTGTTGTCCGTTCCTGCCCTCGAGCTGACCGACATGGAGCTGCTGGACTCGTGCAACGGGCTCCTCCTCCTGCTCTGCACCCGCGCGTCGTCCGGGCAGCAGGCTCCGTCGAAGTACTTCTACGTCGTGTGCAACCCCGCCACCGAGGAGTGGGACGAGCTGCCGGAGCCGAGGCATGCCCCAGGCACTTGGGGCTCGTTTGGTTTGGAGCCAGGGAAGATTTTGCCTGGGCAAGGAGGTTTCTGGAAGCTGCCTGTGACATGTTTGGATTGGACCCTGGTGACTTTCCTGGCCCAGGCAATCCAGTCCGCTCCCCGGCGATAAAAAACGAGCGCCTGGCTCTCAGTTGCCTGGCCTGGACGTTAGTTACAGTGCTAAGCTAGTCATCTTATTTATATTTTTTTACTATAAAATCGTAAAAGACTACGGCAGACCTACCGCTCTTGCTGTTGTTCTACAGGCAACAGGATAAGTATAGGTGATGTCCAAAAAAGTTTTTGTATATTTTATATTTTCTAGTCTTTCTCCCCTCGGTTGATCATGTTCACGTTAAAATTAGCATAATGTGTGCAGTATAATTATAATTATCTTTCTTCCCCGTACGTTCTTTCCTTATGATATTTTTTAAATAGCTAGAAAATCTATTAACTTTATTTGTAATTGTAATTTCAAATATATTATTAATTGAGAAAATATGGATGCTTTTATTTATTTATTATTATTTATAACCATAACCGTGTAAGTTTAAATATGGTATTATACCTTTTATTAGCTTTTAAATATGTACCGTATCTTTTATTAGCATTTTCAGGCACAAACTTCCAACCAATCAGACATTCTTCAGACTTGCCTGACCAGGCAAAAATCATCAACTTTTTAGGCAACTCTCAGGCGACACTTTTTTGTCGAGGTCTCCAACCAAACAGGCCCTTGCTGCCGCATCTTTGGCATGCCACGGACTTGGCGCGGCATCTTATGGACATCGTCCAAACGCGCCCTGAGGTCGACACGCGCGCCTGGCCTCTCTGGCCTTCGACCCGGCCGTGTCCCCCTCGAGCTTCCACGTGGTCCAGCTGGTGGAGCAGGACGGGCTGAAGCCGGGCAGCTTCGCCACCGAGGCGGCGGAGATCTACTCGTCGGAAAGCAGGAGGTGGCCGGGTTTTTTCGGACGTCGTCGGGGCCGCCGCCCAGGCCGCCGCATGCGACGGCCAGGCAGCCTACCTCGATGGCTCTCCCCGACGGCCGGTCACGGGAGCGGATGCTCTACGTGCACACGATGCCGGGCTCCCCCTCCCTGTCCGTCTACGCTCTCGACCCTCGCCGCCACCGCGGCGACGCCGGTCGGTGGACACTGGTGCACTGCGCCTGCGTGGTCGATCGGTTCGGGGAGACGATGTTTACGAGGAGGTACTACAACGTTGCTGCGATCCATCCGCACGGCTACGTCATCTTCCTCTTCGATACCGAACCGAACGGGGGATGGTGGTGGCCTATGATATGGATCGGAGGACCGGTCCTCCGTCTCGCACAAGTGTCGCACCATTACTCGTTCTTCCCGTACGTTCCCCTGTACTCGTCGGAGGCATTATCAGCAGGACAACCACACTAGTTTATATTACACAAGAGTTGTCTTGTTTTTACCTTTAAATTTCTACTAGTTTTGTTTTAAAATGAGTTGGATGAGTTTGAAATGGACAGGACTATTGGTTTGTACCATCAAAATATTTGCTGATAGAAGATAACAATCATCATAATCTGGTCTAGTTCCACTTTTCCACGCCCTTACTCCTGAGCCACACACTAGACAAATCTATGTTCTCTTCGCAAATGACAACAATGCATGTTGCTTGGAGTACATCTATGGAAAGAAAGGGGGAAAAAATGCAAGGCCACACAAAAATGGAGAAATTCAACCAAGTGTTCAAATCCCAAACAACTGCCAATCGTCAACAACAAACGGATAGCACAAATATTTCGTGTGCAATACATCTGAATGACTACAATGGTAACCTACCAGAAAATGCCCATACGTAACAAACTGATGAAAAAAACGATATACACATATGGACAGTCACAAAGCAAGCTATGAGCATCTTAGGACCTCGCAAGCAGCACAACTCAGGCCATGTACAAAAAAAAGAATTGACCTATAAAATTGGTTGCAAAAAACCAACCGAGCAAAGCCACCAGTAGCCCGTCCTCAGAAATGACCAACAATAATTAATAGACTTACTCCCATGGGACCGACCATTCACGACACATTTTGTAGCAGACACTAGAAACAAGGCTTGTTCTCTTTAGAAGAGATCTGCTTTTCGCTTCTGTAGTTCTTGCTTCCAATTTGGCTGTTGGTAGAATGCATCCTTAGTCATGCCAAAAACAGTTTGGAATTCACTATCTGATAGGTATGCCTGCAGAATCAATAGAGTAATAATTCAATAAAATTGGCCCAGCACGGTTCAATGTAAACCTCTCTTTAAGCAAACTCGAACATGAATAGACATGGCTAAAAGAGCAACAAAAGAATATATGTGTGGATAAATATGAAAAGGAGTTGTTCAAAGAGAACCAATCGAACCAAATGCATCAATATAACAGAAGCAAGCAATCTAGCTGCAGGCGAAAGGCTGTGGTTACTTATGGATGCATGGAACCAAGAAATAACTCCATAACTATTCACATCGCGAAGTCACTAGACAAAAATTACCGCTTTAAGGAGAAAATGGGGGATGGATGAAGGGGACAAACCTCTCTACGTTTGTAATCTATCCCACGAACTGGATCGGTAGATTTGGATATCAAGCGGTCATAGCTAAATGTCGCTTCACCAACATTCTCTGTTGTTTCTTCCAATGGGGCCTCAGCCACTGCTCCATCTGTGCCAGATGGTGCCCCATCTACTGCAGCATCTTTTTCCTGGTGAAACACATTGGACTCCCCAGCTTCAGACTGAGGAGAAGATGGACCAGATGGCCCAGCTGGAGTTATGACAACCCTGTCGACATCTGCATTGATCAAAGTTGTCAAACTTTGAAGTGATAAATAGGACAGCAAAGCGGTAGTGGACTTCATCTATGTACATTCCATTAGCCATGACTACAAAAAAGGCAAGGTGTACCAACAAAATCAAATCGACATGACTCCAAGGTTACATTTGCAAAAAAAAAAAAGCCAAGACTATAAAGAAAATATTTTGAAGAAACGAGGAATACAGCTGGAAAAGAATACAAATTAGAAAATTCAAAGAAAGTAAGAAACTTTCGGCCCCTTACATTAGCCTAGCTATTCTTTAACGAATGATAAATTGAAAAGGAAGGTGCAGCTCTACCAGTCTTATCAGCTGTGCTGCTAGCTTTTGCTCGAAGATTTTCTGATGACCCAGATTGCTCAGCAGTCAGCACAGAGGATAGTGCAGCTACGGCAGCTGCTCTTTGAGAACCTTGACCTGAGCGAGATGGAGGTGGTGTTTTGTTGGGTTTTAAGGATGCATTGAATGCATTAGATAAGGCAGCCAGTGCTGAGGCACGCTGAGTTGGTCCATCGCCTGTGCTTTTAGGCCTCTCATTAGACTGAAAAGAAGGATCAAGTAGGTAGTTACATCGATGTTTTGTTTTATACAAAATGTAGACATTTTTGTGAGATAGTTACATCAATGTTTTCTTCAAGAATGCATCATTCTTTTAGACCAAATGTAGACATTTTTGTGAGAAGTCAAATCAACGGTTTCAAACCTACCAGCCTTTGTTGAGACGATGGATTGAATGCGGATGATAGAGCCGCTAATGCAGATGCCCTCTGAGTTGGTCCACCATTACCAGAGCTCCTAGGTGCACCCTACAAAAGGACTGATGTAAAGATTGTACTAGCTTAACATGTATTTGCATTTCCAAATGATGGTTCAATGTAACCTTTCTACAGTTCAAGAAATAGTTATTCATGCAAATATCAAATCCATCTTATAAAAACAACTTAGCAACTGACTTGAGAACATCCAAAAAACTCATTAAAGAAAACCATGCATATATGCATGTGTGTTTTCAATATATAACTCAAACCTAAAATCTCAGGTTTACCTCAGAACGCAATCCAAAAAGTAGAGAGAGTTTCTTCTGGAAGGAATTTCCATGAACCTGTGTAAAGTATGAAACTTATTAGTAAACATGATGCAGATTATAACAAGAAAATAAAATCGACTAATATTTTTTTATGACTAATATCAGATAGAACAGCAAAAGCATAATAAAACAGAATGAGATAACCAAGATCATACCAAAGATTTTGTGTTATCCCAAGAGAAGTACGTCTTGAAGAAGCATGGCTCATTCCCTTCCATGACTTTATATAGTGGTACATATGGAGAAAGATCTTCAATAGAATTTGCATGCTCCACGTATTTCTGGGGGAGAAGTAGTTGTTACGCATACAGAATAACGGTAGTACAACAGCAAACAGGAATTGACCACTTGAATAAGGTCAGAGCTTCAGTTGATACCTGGCCGATATCAAATGCTTTCTGTTTCTCTTTTGATTCTACGCACTGACCAATCCAAATGAAAACCTCACCATGTGTGTCCAGTATCATCATGTCTTCAGTTAACAAATCATCTTGGGAAAAGTTGAAGATCTCAGTAACCTGAATAAGCCCATAAAAGTCAGATACCCTGAATTTTGCAAAACAAAATATAGATCTAAGAAGAGCAAGTGTAAGAGGACCGACCTCCAGTCTCCCTGGTTAATGACGATGATCGTAGCATAAACAAAACCGAGCAATAATGATAATTAGGCCAGAAACTTGTATAATATAGATATCTCAAAAATGAATGAAAGGAAACAGAAACTCCATACTGATATACAACTGCAAGAAAGTATGTACAAAAGTTTACAGCAACTGACCGTTCTTGAATGAGAATGCATACAAGTGAGGCTCTCTAGTAATAATATCCTGAGGAGCATTTTTATTTGTATAACTCTGTTTTCCTCCAAGTGCAAACCAGAAAGCAGAACTCTCTGTCCCCTCCTTGCAGTGCTTCACTGCAACGTCAGGCTGTAAGATTGGAAATATTCAAATGTTAGAAGCGGATTTTTTTTTCTCGAACTACGCAGGAGAACTGCATGTCATTTCATTAAGAAGATAGAAATACAAAGAAAAGAGACCAAGTGCCTTTTCCAGACCCCAAAAAACACAAAAAAAAGGCACCACACAAAACAAAAAAAAGCGACCACCAATAGCCCCTCAGTTAAATAAAAGGTTTAGTTGACCAGGGCAAGTGACCACAAGAGCAACTCTTGGAGCGCTAAAGCACCGGCAGAACACCAAAGGGTGCACTCATACACAGAAGCGGATATTGAACAAGAGGAAAAACCTCAATTGATTTATAGAACTTAAAAAGTGCTAGAAATTTTAATTGATTGGCTTAAAGCTGTCTAAAGGTGCCCTCATACCTTCAAAAATTCAGCAACTTTTGCTGCCCACTGCTGTTGCTCGTATGTGCTAGAATTGCCAAACCATGTAAACATAGCGTTTCCAGATTGCAGTACAAAACACTCCATTGAGCTTAAAGACGTTGCCACCTATAAAACAATAACCGATCAGCTCAAAGGATAAGAAACTGAGTTTCACTGGTAGTAAATGTTGAACCAATCTATTCTAAAATACCACACCACACGACTAGCACATTGTATTTATAAATCAAAGAGCCTTCAAGAGAAAAAAACCATCGACATCTAGTAGAAAGAGCTAGGTAGTACCGCATCAACTTGAAGAGTCTTGTTGTTGTGGATAGATGTCCCAGATACTCGAATTAGAGCTATGCCTTCAGTAGTATAAGTTTCACCCGTCGCACCCTTTTCTTCTATGAGCTTCTTGTACCCAGATCCAATTCCACCCTACATGATTTATTTTGCCAGAAACATATTATGCATATATATTATTTAGATCGCATACAAAGGTGAGCTACAAATCCATTACTGAAAAATAAAATAAAATAATGGAAGCAAAAAAATATGTTTGGTAGTCTTAACATGTGTACCTTCAAGATAACCAAGGGCTGGAAAAGAGCAACAAATTGTGGTGGCTCCTTCCCTTGGTATATACGGCCCTACAAAATAGCTATAAATAACTCAAAGTCGTCTCTTGTGACCAAATATTGTAGGCACATCTGAAATAAAATGCAGCACCAGAACTGGCCGTCCTTTCAATGAATTCCACACTGTGTTAGTTATTTGAGATGCTGACACTTGATCGTCCTGCAAAGCAAACGCCAAAACAGTAAATATAGATTAGGCTCAGCTGTACAGGTGCAGGGAGTTAATTCTATAAAAGGACAAGAACAAGTGCAAAGTAAATTCAAGAGAATTTATGCCAACAGCTAAGCAAAGTGAGAAATTTTAATTAAGCACAAAGGTAGAAGACAGGATGCCGAAACAATTTAATTAAGACGAAAAAAAGAGCAAGTGCAGTAACATGCAATACCACCAAGCTATCCTTCCCAATCCAGTAGCTGAGATAGTATTCTTCTTTCTTGTCGCCTGAATGATACGTATAGAGAATGATATAACAGTCTCCACTGTAAAACTTTCCAATGTCCTCTTTTGGCAGGGCAGTCTTAGCATTGCCATCAACGCACCATACCTGTTACAATTTTGTTTAGCAAGGTATGTATATAGATGTCTTGTATGTTTACTTGTTCAATAAACAACTCAGCTCATAAAAAGGAATATTGATCAATGCAACCTCAAGCTTTCCACCGCCTTCAAGCAAAGGAGGAACTTCCTCATTTACTGGAGTGGTGCTTTTTGCAGCTCCCTTGAGATCAACACCTTGTTGCTTCAATAAAGCTGAAAAGATACAAAATTATTATCAGCATACAAAAGGGAGCTTTCAATATCCTCATAATTGAATGACATACCTGCAACTTTTCCCCGCCCTTCTTCTGCGCCAGGGCTCCCAGCAGCATTACCCACTGGCCATGATTCAAACTTGGACTTGAAAGCATGACTCTCATAACCTTGAATCACTTGAGTTACCCTCGTTGTCTTTGGACGCTTTTGATTAATAAGGAATTCCTGCAGAAGAGAAAACCATGAAAGTGTTAACTACAAGAAATGGGGAAGGGTGGGAAAAGAAAATTAGTTCAAGAATTTACCTCAACTGCTTTAGTGGCAGATTTTCTATCCTCCATTTGTGTTACCCGGCCAACCCATACATATATTTCAGCCCCACAGTCAAGTAAGAAACATTTGGTATTTTCAAGCACAGCTTTTGTAAGAGCTGTTTCTTCCAGCTTCAATTGGCCATCATTGATGCTGCATGAAGAACATTTCATAATGTAACTGTAAAACACAGAAGACACTATGGGGACATAAAGAACTTAAAACATGATAGAATCAGTAGGGGCATGGTAGACCACAGAAATATACTCAGCAATAGCATGGACTCACTAAACATTTTCATATATATGGGCATGGAACACAGAAATATATTTAGCCACGGAATGGGCTCATTAGACATATTCTTACATGTGGATATTGCTTCCAACATTGATTGGTGCTGCAACTGTTACAATTGAACTTAGCAGTGCAGAATAAAAATAAAAGCATTTAGCAAAGAATACAGGGTACAGCCACTTCCCAGTTTGCGGCTACTATGCAATCCTCACACTGTAAAACTTTGCGATTAAAGGAAAAACTTTTTTAATTCTACGAAGATTTTGTTTTCATGGCCCCACAAGCTCAAAGTAGGTAATATTTCAAAAGTAGTAAGACACAAGCGCAGATTAAACCAAAGCAATGCCAAGCTGCTAAGCCACAAAACATCTACAGGTATCTTAGATACACCAATTGGTCTCAAAGACCAAGTAGAAGCCTATTTATATGTAAGAGGTACTATTGCAGGGGAAACAGCAGAAACTAAGCATTCATATAATTTACAGCAGTTGATCAAGATTTAAAAAATTTAAGTCTTTCATTGCTGTAACTTTTATCTGTATAGTACTAGAAGAGAATTATTAATCCAAATAATTTTGGATCAATCACCTACCACATGATTTTCATAACGATGATTGTCATAGGAAATACCTGTACAGCTTTGGTGCTGTAGTTTCAAGTACAACATCATCATCACTCACAGTTTTTTTCCCAATTGGTGCAAAACCTCCAAAAAGGACCCAGAATTCACCAGAGTCTGACTCTGCTTGTAATTTCCCATCATCTGGCATAAAAAACCCATAAGAATAGAGAGAGAGAGAAAAGGCGGATGACAAAATTGCCAGTCCAAATATCATATATCCCTCACCAACGATCGCAACATCGCAAACACCCCCATGGTACTTCTCCTTTAAATGTTGGATTACTTCCAACGCTTTGGCCCTTTCTTGGATATTGGAGTTAGCACCATTAAACTGGTATATCTTATTTTCAGTATCTAAGACAAACACATCATCATGGTTTAATGATGACCGGGCAAAGGGAACCTGAACAAAGAAGGCAGCATCCGCAATTATTGAGCTGAAATTGTAAATGATGTGCAGTAAGGGGAGTGAATCTCCCATACCTCTTTAACCCGAATAGCTCTCTTCCCTCTGCAAATATACAACCGTGTTTCAAACTTCTCCTCTTCAGGCTTTTTGAACCCAGAGGCGAAACCACCCTCCAAAGGTATAATGCAAGGCTTGAAGTATGACAAGAATTTGTCAGATTCATAACCTTGGAGTTCCCTATGTTGGATTGCACGACCCCCAAGGATGGCATCGAGTTCAACTGTCTTGATGGCTGCAGTCCCAGCTTCATCCTGCAATAGACACATAGTCACAAGGAAGGCTAGAACTAGCACATGTAATAACACAGAATTTAAGTTCACAAGTGTGTACTTGACTCGAATCTTTCCCAATCCAGAAGTGGATATCGTATAGATAGGCACCACCTTTAGTACAGGTCGTCTACAAATGAAACAGAAATAGCTCACAACTTTTGTCTTATGAATGGAAAAATCGAAGATGTTTTATGGGATACAAGAATAAAGGGCAAGCAGGCACCTGCAGAACTATGTATGAATCTCCACAGTAGAATTTACCATAATCAGATTTTGGTAGCGCAACTGGCTTAAAATCTTCAATCCGCCATATTTCTGTCCCACTAAATTATGCTAAGGGATACATATACATTTATAAACACGTACTAAATTTGCAAGCTCGAGTAAAATGAAAAAAAAATCTATCAGTTTCTCAGAAGAGAACCAGAATAGACTGACAAACATGTGAAAGGATACACTTTTTGGCCAGCCCCTTGAAAAGCAGGATCTAACACTTTTGCAGTTGACATCTGGAAGCAACTTTCCTTGGATTACTTTGAAGGAAACAAAATGATAGCAGATGGTTCCCCTGTACAAGTGTAATGAATATTAGAGACACACCAGATGTTGAGAATGGAAAAAACAATAAAGCAATCAGTTTACATTGAAAATATAAAGTGTGTTTGATTAAGCCAAAAATAAAAAAAGGAAAATATTAAACCAAAATACCAATTACAAATAAGGCAGGTAACATATTCTATAGATATCGAAGTTAGAGAAGTTTAACTTAGGGCAAAGCTAAACTGAACTATAATTAGGAATGGGGGAGTATAAATGTATAATGCACAAGGTATGGAAGAGATTCAGAATTACATATTGAGCTAGATATAGCTCTAAAATTAACTGAGTGAGATTTCAGATTTATCTTTGCCTTATAGATGTTCACTACTGAACTATTTTCCATAAGAAAAGAAACCCAATCATCTCCAAACCCCATCGAACAGAAGCCTTGTACCTCTACCTAATTCCTCTAAGTAGGGATGAAAACTGTTTGTTTCTATTTTCATTTTTTTTTCAGAAACAAATCAAAAACGATATCGTCAGAAACAAATATTGGTCGGTAGTCGTAGTACAAAAACAGCATGCATAGGAATGGTAAGCCAAGTCTTCAAGCATGCTTTACTGTTTTTATTTTTTTTAAACTAACAAACATGCTTTACTACCCATACAAGTTGAACACACATGTAAACTGATATGTTAAAATAGCACAAGAATATGGGAGTGTGGGATATATATAGACAAAAAACGGTCGACAGGTGTGTTCCGTACCAAAATGGTAAATCGCTAAAACGGTTTACATGTGTGTTGTTTCTGTTTCCATTTCCATTTTTCCCAAGATCGTGATAAAACTTCAATAATAAGCCCTGGTAAACGATATGTTCCGTTTCCGTTTTCATCCCTACCTCAAAGCAAAGCACTTTTCATGACAGGCCACGTGTGTTACCATAATAGTATATTAAGACATTTCTTAAGCATGGTAACGTCTATGTGAGCAAGTGGTGCTATGGTGTTACCCTTTGTTTTAAGATTTGCCTCTGCTTGTAACCTCAGCTACGTAATTAAGGTATCGATTTCAATTCTTTTGCTAATTTATACATTAGTTTCCTTTTGATGTCAACTAATTTCTATCTACCTCAGTCAGGTCCTTTACAAGTGCTTATCACTTGGCTCAATCAAACATTTACCTCTTTGGTCAGTTTGGTCTTTGCTCTCAGGTTTTCAGTCTCAGTTATCTAAATTGTTCACCCTGTCGTACAACCATGGTGTTGGTATTGCTTTGCTCAAATGTAGTAGACTGGGCTGAGAAATGTTCATACTTCATACCAAGTGTGCAGACAGCGTGATTGGAGCAGGTGTCTACATTAAGTGTCTACAAGTGAATTTGATTAAGTTACAGGTGTTTTTTGTATTTTGGTGTCTAGATTAAGTGACTTCTTGCTCATTCTTAAAATATGGGTCCAAGCTAGTGCTAATAGACTAAAAAATGGTAAAATAAAACTCTGAAAATGGTAGGCAGCACTGTTTTTTTTTTTTTTACTATTGCACTTACACAATTAGTAGGAAGTGGATAGCGAGTGCTTGGGCTGATCCAAATGCATGCTATCGGAAGTAGGCGATGTTTTGTATCCCTTTTCATCAACACTAGATGTATTATCTATAGCTGCTCATAATTCAAGTTACTAGTACAAAGAGTTGCCTAAGTGCGAGTTTAGCAGTCTCAACAGACAGTCTGCAAGACCCAAAACCTCTGCTGTAACCAACAGGGCAACAGCCTACGTGTAAGAAAACCCCAGCTTGTTCCTCTAAGAAGCACTATACGCTATCTTGTAGCATTGGCCTTTTTCCCTTTGACTCCTCCAAAAATCGGCATCCATCATTCTCGGCATATCCATGGTCTTCTTGTCACCATGTTCATAGCTGGTACTATATGCTTGGCCGGATACCGACGCTGGGGCACGTGTCACTCTTGGCTTTGGCTGGCAGCCTTCCACCAGCCTTGAAAAAAACAAACATCCCGCTAGAGCAGCAACAAGGTCTGCAGAGCACTTCAGTATTTCCCCTACCTATAATACAGACAGCGATTGCTCGTAGTGATGGGCAGAGTCAAATGTTGATGCCGATCACACGATCCGCTTTGTATACGAGTGCAAGGTGCTCGCAGCTGCCGGCCGGATCATTTTTCTTCCAGCAAGACAACACGATGGACAGCTAACGGTGGTGTTAAGCTTGAGACAGTCCAAAAAAAACTTGGAGAGTGTACCAATTACCAAGGCGATCGCAGCACTCCAGCACACGTCAAACAAATTGGCAACAAAATGGATGAATCCAAAACGGATTGGATTGGATTTCATTCCAGGACTCATAGGAAACAGGCCAGTCGTCTCGAGAAGCAATTCGTCCGCGGGAGCTATGCCATCGAACAAACTAGCGAAAGGAGAAAAGCAACCAGACCCCGAGGCGGGCGGACGGATCTAACACCGCGAGGACGCCAGCGGGAGCTGCGCAATTGAGGTGAGAGCGAGGGAGAGAGAACAGACGAAATACCTGGATCTAGATCGTCGGGCGGGCGGGCGGGCAGCCGGCGGAGGGCCTGCGGCGTCGCCGGATCTGCTGCGCTCGCGGGGAGAGAGAGAGAGAGAGAGAGAGAGAGAGGCGGGCGCCCCGCCGATCGCGGGATCAGGAAGTGGGGAGCGGAACGCGGGGAGGCGAGGCCACTGATCAGTGGATCGGAGACAGCGGTCACCCGCACAGGCGGAGAGGCCGGACGGACAGGGGGGGGGGGAGAGAGAGGGAGGAGGAGCCACCTGGAACAGAGTGGCAGCGTAAATAGGGGCAGCGGAGGCGATGATATGGAAGGGGACGGCACTGCTGGCTCGGCGCGGCGCGGCCCCCGGCTCCTTTACGTAGCAGGATACGTACGGCCGACGGACCACCGGCCACCGACCGACCAGGGCGGCAGGGACCTTTGTCTGCTTTTCAAATTTCGTTCACCGATCCGCTCCTCCAAACACATGCGTGTTTAGCCACGCTCAAAAAGTCAAAACATGAGGCGAAACACTCTAATCTCTCGTGCTAGAGTATGAATTTCACTGCATTTCATCTGTATATATTATATATACATATATATATATATATCTAACGAGCACAAGAGGTTTCGTTCGGATTAAGCTAAAGTTTGTGAAGAAGATTTGATTAGATTTATATAAAAAATATAGTGCCAATATTACGGATACGTGTGCTGATATTATAAAATATAAAATTATAATGAGGGCGGCAGGACCAAAATAATACAATCTTTATTGTCCATCTATTAATCAATCAATTATAAATAATCAGTTAATTAAGTAATAATTATAGGAAGGGGAGGGCAGGAAAGGCGGCAGGACCTCCTCTCTCCTTTTTTAATCACGACGCCGGCAGCGCTAGGCTGAATCGGCCATGCCGCAGCCACAGGGCGCAATAATGGCAGGGCTCGTGGCCGTGGCCGTGCACGTGCACGCATCAGATCATCATCCGATCGTCCATGATCCATCCCCGCCCGCCCAGCTCACACCCAGCGCCCCCCAGCGGCGCAGCCACTCGACGGCGCTCTGCTGGGCTTGGCTGGCCGGCACACGAGCAGCTGCGCGGGTGGGCGCGGATTCCTCCGTCGCCTCCCGGCGCGCGCCTGGAACGGAATAGAAGCTTTTGCTGGGGGCCTGGGGCGTCCAACGGAATGGCCTGGGCCCTAGCGGGCGGCTGGCCGGCATGCCATGTGCGGCCACGGCTGCGTGCGAGCCGGGGAGGTACGCCACGCCACGCCATCAGGCAGGCGGCAGGGCAGCGCAGGGCACTCTGGCTGGCTCACCGGCCCTCATCACTGGCAGAGCGAGTGACAGCACGCACCTGCCTGACCAGAAAGGGCCTGCCGCCCGCCCGCCGTTGGCTTGGCTTGGATATAATGGACTGGAAGTCCAGAGCCGTTGGCTTGGGAGCAATGGCAAAGCCATACACCCATACGTACTCTGCAAGGAGCTCGAAGAAACAAGTGTGTAGGTCTCGATGATTGCAGGATATCCATGCATGCACTCATCTGCTCTCAACTCTCAATCTCTCATGCATGATGCATGTCCCATCTCACGTGCTCTTGTTTGCTTCCGTATTCCTCCGTCTCGCGCGCCAGCGCCAGCGCCATCGCCATCGCCATCGCGATCACGTCTCTGCTGCCCGCGCGATCAATGTCGCTTAGCTTTCCCCTTCCCTTGCCAGTTCCCCATGGTTACTTCACGGCACAACCGCCCAATTGCCGGTGCGCCATTTCCCGCTGTCGCTGCTGCATGCGACGTTGCCACGGCAGCCGCCGGTGGCCGGTGGGCCGTCTCTCCCTCCAGTCCTCCTGTCCTCCAGCTCCAGATAGGCTGGTAGCCTGGTACTCCTGCTGCCGTGACTGTAAAAAGCGCCGTGGTGTGGTACGCCGAGACAGTGCAGCAGGGCGACACCGGAATTCTCCCAACCGTTGATTGCCCTGCCGGCTGCGGCCCTGCATCTGGTTCCGTGGACCATGAGCCAGCCAGCCAGCCGCCCAGCCGGCCACGCACGTCAGGCGGACCGGACCGGGCCGAGTATGAACACGTCAAGGCAGGCACGTCCCCTACCCAGCCCCAATGGTCGGCGCCAACCAATGTGGATGTGGACATCAGCAGCTCCTGTGGCTGTCATCAGTTCAATCAGCGTCTTCTTCATTCAGGACGCTAGTACATTATTACGGCAAAAAACAGGAACCAGTGTTTGGGACGCGAGAGGTAATTTAATTAAAAAAAACTTGCGTTTATAAAAAAATCACGTTAAAGGTTTCAGATCCAGGTTTTAGAACGTTATTATCGAGTCGTGTCGCGGAACTTTTGTTGTGTGTCAGCTTGAACTGTTCCAAGATTTTTTTTAATCATGTTCCAAGATTTTTTTTTTGTTTCAACGAACAATGAAGTGCTCCGAGTAGAAGGGCACATGAATTATGCGTACTTTTCTAGTCGAGGTCTCGAGGGAAAACTATCAGCGTATATAATCCCTATAAATGCATACATTGTCTATTTGTCTTAGCTGACTTACCATTCTTTCGTCCTGTTCGGCTGGCTGAAAAAACGGCTGATGTTGATTTGTTGTGAGAGAGAAACATTATTATTTTGTTGAAACGGTATGGCTGATAAGTTCAAACGAACAGGGTCAAATGTACTCTGTCCAATTATTGCTCCATACAAAACTGAGATTTTTCTTCACCGCATGTCCTAGCAATACTGATCATATTGCTTTAGCACACTGGCCTATGAGTTAGTTGAAGCTTTTCCGGTAGCCAGTTCACGGACCACCTGGACTCAGGAACCTTTCCTGAATGTTCTGAATTCATTTTTCTCACCAGAGTCAATAACCCCCCTTGCCTGATTGCCTCTGAAGTCCGAACCAGTATTCAGAGTTATCACTTGCACATTGCTGGATATAATGACTAAACATACACATTTGCATATTTTTTTGGTACCTAACCAAAATTAGACAAGCAATGAAACGTTTTTGTCGTGCTGACATATAGGGCCAAATTTCTCCAAATTTAGTATTCTGTTTGGTCCAAGGAACAGTAATAAAATCCCCACACAAGACCTCAAATCCCGCACGAGTGGCAGAGCCCCAGAGGAGATCAAGAACTCAAGACGACCTCTTTCAAGCGTGGTCGCCTGCCACTAATAATCAGTATAAATAAAATAAAATGCATAACTCAAAAAAAAATCTATTAATTGACGTTACATTTGAAATTTGTTTTTTTTTACAGCATTTGAAAATTGAAGTTTGTTGGGTGAACAAATGTACGCGACGCCGTTTTCAAGCGATTGAAAGATAGCCAGCCGCACCCTTTACTAAAACCTGTTTTGTTTGCCATGTCACAATACACATCTGCAGCTACGCAAGTAAGTAACCATGGAGGTTCCCATATCGCAGTCGCAGGCCAGTTCTGTCTGAAAAAAGTCAACGTCACTACGTCACCGTGAAAAGGTGAAGGTGGCAAGTGGATTGACACGAGCAGCAAGCCAGCCACTGGCGACCACACGACTAAGCACAGCAACGTGTTAACGCCATGGATGCCGCTGCGGCGGCGCTCCTCGCAGTCGCCGTCGCCGTCCTTCTCTTCCCGGGCCTCCAGCGCCGCGCGGGCCACCGCAACCACTGCCCCTACCCGAACCCCGTGCTCGGCAACGTGGTGCCCTTTGTCCGCAACTTCCACCGCTTCCTCGACTGGGCCACGCATGGGCGGCGCCAGGGGTATTTCCCTGTATGCGATGGAATATCCAAGATTCTGCAAACAAATACAAATATATATATATGTATACGCTTGTATATTTGCTACATTTGCAAATCTGGCTGACTGGACCAAAGCCCCAAATCGAGGTGCGCGAGCAACCCACCAAACAAAAAAGGGTCGCATCGGGCTCGGCGCTCCAGTTCTCAACATATCAGCTCGTCATTTCACCGCGTAGAGACGAAGGTTTAAAATTTAAAGAACCACCTTGTTAGCGCATAAAGACATGAGCGGGTTGTCTACAACTTCTTAAGTTGGTGTTAATTCTTCCTATAGCCACCGCTAGTGTTGGGAGAGTGTTTTCCACCATAAATTATGTAAAGAACAAGCAAAGGAATAAAAATGGGTGATGAATATTTTGAACAATTGTTTGGTCACATTTATTGAGAGAGAATTTTCCTCGGCAAGAAAGATGATAATATCATTAATGAATTCCAAAAAGAGAACGAGAGTTCAATTTTAGTAGTTTTGAGCTTTTGATGTTTTCTAATCTTTCTTAATTATTATAGACAATGGCACTATGCTACTATGTTTAGATCTTGTACTTTGATTATTACTATTGCACATTTGCATCGATTTTTTTTCTCGAATACCCCGCTCGTTACGCGCCCGCTTCTTCTCGGGCGTGTCCTCCGCGCCCACCGGCCACGCGCCGGCGCCCTGCTCTCCTCGACCACGGCCGCGGGGTCGACTCCGGAGAGGCCGTTGACCTGCAGGCATCTGCTCAAGCGCTGCGGAGCCTTCGACAAGCTCGCCATCTGCGGCGTCGCGTTCGGGCGCTCGAGGCCTCGACGCTGCTCGCTCTCGGGGGGAGGACGGCGGGAGAGGCCGTTGACGCCGCCGCCGGCACGATGCGTTCTTCAAGGCGTTCGACGACGCCGTCGAGATCTCCTTCGCGCGCATGCTCCACCCGACAGCCGTGGTGTGGAAGGAGATGCTCGGCTCGCTGCGTCGGGCGTTCTTCGGCGTCGGAAGCGAGAGGCGGCTCCGCCCGGCCATCGTGGTGTGGAAGGCGATGAGGCGAGCACGTCCGGATCTGGGGATCGCGGAGTCGGAGGTCGGCAAGCACGTCGCGGCGATCGCGCGCGGCGGCGAGCGCGACGACGACGCAGCAGACTGTTGTCGCGGTTCGCGGCGGCGATGGAGGAAGACGAGGGGAGCGAGCTCGGCGCCATGTTCTGGTCACCGGAGGCGAAGCGGCGGTTCCTGCGGGACATCGTCGTCAGCTTCGTGCTCGCCGGGAAGGACACCACGTCCTCCGCGCTCACATGGTTCTTCTGGCTCCTCGCCGCCAACCCGCGCTGCGAGCGGCGCGTGTACGAGGAGGCGGCGTCGCTCTCGCTCCACGGACACGGAGACGGAGACAACCACGGCGTCGACGACGACGACGGCGGCGGCTACGACGAGCTCAGGGGGATGCACTACCTGCACGCGGCGATCACCGAGGCGATGCGGCTGTACCCGCCAGTGCCCATCCTAAAATGCAATACCTTGCGTAAGAGCGCCCGCGGAGCTTATTCCTCTCGTCTGGTTGGTGGCGGCCGCTGGGGGTCCCGAACGGACGGTACGCTCCTGTGCGCGCCGGCATGGTTTTTCTCGGTGCCCATGCGCGGGTGGCGGGCGCGGGAGCGATGCCGGACGGCTGCATGCCGGTGGTTCTCGACGACTGCTGGCGACGCTATGGGGGAGATGCCACGGCTGTGGGCGGCGGTTCCGCCCCGAGCGGTGGCTCGACGGCGGCGGCGAGTTTGTGGCGGTGGACGCGGCAAGGTACCCGGTTTTCCACGCCGGCCCGCGGGCGTGCCTCGGGAAGGAGATGTCGTACGTGCAGATGAAGGCCGTTGTGGCCGCCGTGGTCAGGAGGTTCTCCGTCGAGCCGGTGCGGGCGGCGAGCATGGAGGCGCCTCCGCCGTACGAGATGGCGGTGACGCTGAGGATGAGAGGCGGGCTGCCTGTGCGGATAAGGAGGCGGGAGAGCGACTTGGGCCGGCACTGATCATGACAGGAAGCCCAATCAATAGAGGCACTCTAGCAGCTAGTACTTCAGTTGGGCCATCAGTGTCAGGACTCAGGGGGCCAGAGTAGCAAGAAACACATCATCCCTCAAAAGAGAGAGATCAAGAAACAAATCATCCCGAGAGAGAGAGAGAGAGCAAGAAACACATCGCAATGGGTCGAGGTCTCAAGGAGATAGAGATTTGAAAGAGACAACTTCCTGGATATTCTTGTAAAATATCCCCCCATAAGTGATGATACAATTCTTTCTAGAATTTTTTGAGGAGTAACAGTTTTAAAATTGATTAAATCTGTAAAAATATTAGCATTTATGATACTGAACAAATATCATATTAGATTAATTATAGAATTTTAATAGTATATATCCATTTAGAATCCTAAATACTAATGATATTTTTTTCAACTTAATTAAAATTAGAAAAGTTCGGCTCAATTCAAATCTAAAATTGTTTTTTTTAATGAAGGCACCACCACCTTTTCAAACAGGATTTGGTTGTCTTTTTCTACTATTACCGTGTACAGCATCCCAGATCGGATGGTTATATGACACGAAATTGCTCTACAGAGCTCGGATCAAAACAGGTAATACTATCACTGCTTGCCAATGAGAGACATACATTTGGAAAGTTCAGCTACAATTTGGCATTACCTTATTTCAAATATTCCAGCATCCGGGGGTACAGTCAGAACCATTACTGAAAATCACTGCGTGACAATGATGGGCAGATGAAAGTGAAAGAACGCAGTTGCATGCATACATGGGGGCATGGGGCATACTGTTATTATTACATCAACAGTCGCCTGAATGTCCTTCGGCTACGTTTGGAGAGTTGCTTAAACATCCTCCTCAAGACAGGCTGGATTGATACGCCTGCCAGTTTGCCACCCTTGTTTTGAATAGCACTAATCTCATGTCAGAAGTTCATATCACTGACTAAGAAGAAAGAAGAACTAGGCTAGTCTTATGACATGATACTGTGAAAATCTCTAGTTGGTGTCTCAATATAAACAAAAAGGAAACATATTGGACATGTTCATTTGGTTGGTCTTTGGTCTTTGGTCCGAAATTTGGGTGGTGCTAGTTTTTGTGAGAGGAAAAAACATTATATTTTATTTGGTTTTAATTTGAAACCCAACAATGAATAGGTGATTATTATTCAGTTTGCATACATCCAATATACTCCCTCCATCACAAATTATAAGTTATTCTAAAAATCTTGGAGAGTCAAAAGATCTCAAGTCAGACCAAATTTATATGATAAAATAATAATATTTATAGTACCAATTAAGTATCATTAGATTCTTCGTTATTTATATTTTCATAGTATACCTATTTGATGTTATAAATCTTTTTATTTTTCTCTATAATTTTGGTTAAACTTGAGATGTTTTGACTCTCAAGATTCTTGCAATGACTTATAAACCAGAAATACTGAGGTTATGTTGGTTTTGTTTACAGTACTGCGCTGCTGTCATCATTTCAAATATTTTTTTTGAAGGGTCGTCATCATTTCAAATATAGAAGCACTCAGCCATGGAAGTATATATATACCACCCACTCCACCAACTCTTCACCCACACACATACACATGAAGACATGATCTCAGAAGCTCTCTGAGAATCATCCACGAATAATAGTAATCACACACCACCGCTGTATCACTCCACCTTTGTAAATTAGAGAATAAAGGAGGTCCCTGTGATCATCCTGAGCTTGTAAGGTAATCCCTCAGGTTTGTGCTAAGTGCTTGGGGTTTCCCGAAAGAGAAAGCCGTATGTAAGCTTGCTCTGTGGAAATGAATTAAGCTTTCCTGTTTGAATCCCTGCCTTCCTTTAAGCTCGTTCATATGGGGCGACGTCTCTATGCTAGGGACCCTAGAGGAGAAACCTCTGCGTGTGTTGTTCTCGTATTAGCCACGATAAGCGGCGTTTGTAGAGAAACCATGTCTTGCAGAGAAGTGTTCCCTTGGGTGGAGCTGCACTGGGAGACGATAGGGCTGAGTCCTGTGTGTTCGTGGCTGGGGATAGCAAGGGAGTAGACCGGGTTAGTCTAGTTCTGAAGCGAGTCAGTGATGCATACGGTGAGTACCGAGTAGGACTGTCACAAGCATAGTCGCACGACCGGCTGAATTTTTGGTCTCGCCAGCCTGCAGAAGATCCTTAGAAATAATCCGCATAAGCATATTCACTAAGCACCAGATTAGCTAATCGCGAAAGCGACATATCAATATTTATATTCACTAATTGAGCGCTTGCTCATCCAGCGTGCATAAAATATTTGAGATTGAAAGCGACACTTGCCTTGAATAGTAAAGTGGTTGAGCCACTCCCGGTGAGTGCTCGGGCACTGTTCATATCCCGAATTTGAATAGTAGCCGCGAATTTGAATAGTAAATCTGAATTTGAATAGTGCTATGAATAGTAACTCGAGAATTTTAAATTCGAATTTTGAGTTTTGAGTTCGCTTCTCGTTTTAAGGTACCCCTTGTCCTATTGGTATCAAAGCCTGGTTATTATATTTTGAATTTAAGGGATTTACTTATATTGTCAAGTTTGTCAGTACAACCTTAGTCAAATACTTTACTAATAATGGAAGATTTAGACAGTCAGATCCAATATTATGAGAAAAAATTAAGTATGATTCATGATGAATATAAAACCTCTATGACATGCAAATGGTCTGCCATAAGAGAAAAAGAACTATTCTTTAGACGAGAAATATGTAGACTTGATAATATCAAGAAAGACATAGAACTAAAGAATAAATATTTTAAAACACCTGTTGTGATAAAGAAACAGGAAGATGAGTTAAAACTAAAGACAAAGAGACTCATGAAGTTAAAGAAGTTGTGCAGACAAATAATATTGAATACATTACCAGTGAAGATGAGCAATGGGAGATTAATAATAAGTTTTTATTAGAAAGTTATGAAGAAGAAGAAAATAATGCTGAAAGTTACCAAGATTTTATAGACTCTTTAGATGATGAAGAGTTACTCAATCTTGATAATGCTATGGAAGGGTTAGATATAATAGCTGAAGATATTAATAGTTCAAAAGAAACAAAAATAGAATTAATGAATCAAGAAGACTGTGAGCATGATTGGATAAAAGGAAGAGGTGATTATAATATAAAATGTGCCTTTTGTATATTTTACCCTAGTCAAGAAAATAGACTTATATGTATTAAATGTTTAAAGCAAGCATGTGCTTCATGTCTAAGAACCAATAACCAAAAATGGAGACAAGAAGTAGAACTAGAATCAGATGATAAATTATTAGCAAGTAGAGTCAGAAATTTAGAGAATAGAATAAATAGCTTAGAAGCAGAATTAGAAGAGCTAAAGAGTAAAATAGAACTCAATGAAACTAATAAGATAGAAGATAATTATAAAGGTCTTACCGAGTTAAAGGATCAAGCAATGGTAAATAAAAATAATAATAAAGCGTTACAATTAAAAGAAGCCATAATAAACTATGGTAGTAAATATATAGTAAGATTACCATTTAAAGAAATTATAGGAATAAGAATACCTGTAAAAGTAAAATTGACGCCTAATATCTCCTATAAAATATTAGCATTAGTAGACACTGGTTGTACAAAAAATATTATACATGATAAATATTTTGTAAAGTGTCCAGAAATAGTTCATACAATAGATCAAGATAAAGCAGAAATATCTCTTGATATATGCGGGATAAAAAGGTTCATAATCAACTAGCTTATGATGTTGAAGTACAAATAAATAACACAAAATATATAATGGATGAAATTACAATAAGAGATTTGTCTATGATACATGATAATATGATATTAGGATTAAGATTTTTACAATTCTCTTTACAAACAACAATCATACATGAGCAAGGAATAACATTTATTCCTTATCAAGACAACATTCCATATATAACAGAAGTAAGAAAGTCTAATCCAGGAAAGACCAACCTAGAACTCCAAGGATCTGATGAAAATGTTCCTGATGATTATATAGATGAAGAATTAGGTGAAAATATTGAAGAATTTCATATAGCAAATTCATACATAGAATGTATCAGTCTGCAATCATTAGCACCTAATTGGTATAGAGATATAAAATCTAAAAAGGATATAGATAAAATTATAACAAGATTAGAAGATATTCAGATAATAGGAGAAATACCAATGAAGCATTGGGACAAGAATGGTATATTATGTAAAATTAACATAATAAATCCTGACTATATAATTAAGACAAGTCCTATAGAAGCAACACCTAAAGATATAGAAGAATTTAAAATGCATATTGAAGAATTACTAAAATTAGGAGCTATAAGAGATAGCCGAAGTCCTCATAGATCAGCTTCATTTATAGTTAGAAATCATGCTGAAATAGCTAGAGGAAAGTCAAGAATGGTTATTAATTATAAAAGGCTAAATGATAATATTATAGATGATGCATATAATATCCCAAATAAGCAAGAATGGATAAATAGAATACAGGGAAGCAAATATTTTTCAAAATTTGATCTAAAAGCTGGGTTTTGGCAAGTAAAAATGGCAGAAGAATCAATAGAATGGACTGCTTTCACATGTCCTCAAGGTCATTTTGAATGGCTAGTAATGCCCTTAGGATTAAAGAATGCCCCTGCTTTATTTCAAAGAAAAATGCAAAATATTTTTAATGAAAATCAAGAATTCATATTAGTTTATATTGATGACTTATTAGTATTCTCAAAATCTTATAAAGAACATATAGCTCATCTGAAACCTTCTTTAGAAAGGTAGAACAACATGGGTTAATATTGTCTAAAAAGAAAAATGGAGATATGTAAGGAAAAGATAAACTTTTAGGTCATGAAATAGGAGAGGGAAAAATTTATTTACAAGATCATATTGCAAAGAAAATTTTAGAATTTCGGATGTCATGAATGATAAGAAAACCCTGCAGCAATTCTTAGGAATAGTCAATTATGCTAGAAATTATATTGAAAATTTAGCTAAGTTAGCTGGTCCATTGTATGCAAAATTAAGAAAAAATGGACAAAAATATTTTAATTCTGAAGATATAAAGTTAGTAAGAACTATTAAA